TAAACGTAGAGCAGTTAGACAGTGCAAATTCATGTATTATCATGACAGTTAATGTGCCAAGACTCACCAACACTACATTCCAAGAACAATGTTGTTAAGATATTGACTTTTTTTTTTTTTTTACCAAGGACCAATTTGGTGTAGCTAATGTCTTCCAGGACAGTTTTACCTTGTTGCCTGTAAAATAGGCCTACATTAGGTCAATTAGAAATAAATTATCTTGCAGCTTATCTGTGAACTGGAGGTGATAAGATACAACTACCGCAAAGTCACTGCAGGAGAATAGAAAGCTTGTACCGCTTTTGACAAACCTTTAAGATTTTAGCCATTTTTCCAAGAACGGCACATTCATCATCGCTCTTTGAAATGCTGGACCCGTCGAAATCACAGAAATCTAGAAAAAACAAGGTATTCGTTTTCACCCTGACTTCAGTGGCTTCATTGGATGGCCTCGTGAAAATTAGTACCTCTACCTTTTGAACACAACTTTTACCCTCCATTAACCTGCAGCAACAGATGCATCGCCTCCTGGAGTTTGGACTGCTAAAGAGAAAACAATGTGTGGAAAGGCAGGTTGGAAACGCCTTTAAAAGAGATGCTACTGGTCTGATTAAGCCATCAGACACTTCCATGTGGAGTGACACACAAATAAGCTCTTTTGGCCTAATTTCGTCCCTTGTCTGCATATTTGACTTGTGAGGTCTGCCGTAGTAGTAGGGCTACATGATTTTCATCATTTCAGCTGCTGCAGCCCAGCTAAGTACCATACACTTCCAAACTCCAACTAGAGTTTGACAAATATCTGCATCATGGACACATCCCGACTGCACTTTGCAAATCATTCGCAGTCATTCATCATGTTTAAAAAGCCATTTCCCTTTTGTCTTTCACAACAGCCTACAAAAGCCATTCTGACTTTGTTCAGTGCTCTGAAACATCAAACAGCCTATTATTGTTCTTCAGAGGTCATAAAATCCACATAGATGTGTTGAATGCTCTAGTCATGTGATTCCAAAGTTGGCATACATTTAACAAAGGTAATCATACAATTTCATTGTGTAACAAAATCACAAGCTTCCATGTTTTTGAAATCCACCAAAGAAAGTCCTTCTTCTCTGCTCTACATCTCTGATACAGAATGTATGAAAAACTCTTTTTCTTTACAGTCTCTCTTGTTCAGGACTCAGATACTCTGAGTTGGCTCATTTTTCTTCTTTTGTGTGTTCTTTATGTTTTTTTTTTTTTTTTTATGAAATAATGAGTCTTCATAATGATATGGCACAAGACCTCTGACCTTTAGGAGAAGGCATAGGTTTTTAACAACTGAAGACAGTTTTATTCGCTACAGTTTGACTTTGTGACATAAAATGATCAAGGTAAAGCCTCCAGGATGATAATGTCAAACCCTCATCCTCTGTGGCTCTACCACTATTACTTTACCTTGACGAGTTGGAATCGAAAGAACCCTTTCATTTGTCTCACAAATTAGATGAAAATTCTGCAGCGAGTTAGAAGTTTATGAACAAAAGCCTGTCCACACAAACCAGATATTTTGCCAACCAAATATTTTCACCTCAGTTCAAAAAAAAAACTTTCCAAAGACAAATTTTGAAAACCGTGAACTTTAGAACATTTGTGGTGCATATCCACATGACCTGATGACACGGAAAATATTAAAAGAATATTTTGAATCTTTTCTTGATGGAAAAGCATCAGAGGGGCCTTCAGTCTGAAGCCGATATTTTCACAGAAACCGTAACGTTCTTGTTGAAATCCAGCCGCTCGTTTACACGTCTCCAGTGATCAGAGTTTCTGACGCCGGCGCTTTTTGAAGCCAGGGATCAGAGTGAAAGCTTTCTGAAGCAACCGCCACAGAGGGGTGGAGCTTTCCACAGGTGAGAACACAAGACTGGAGGGTTTAATCAGATAATAACATGAACACCTGTTCAGTTTAACACAACTTCGTAATTTGTATGTTACTTGTTTTCCAAATGAGCTGGAAGCTAGAGAGTTGGAAGCTAAGGGTCAACATGTTGAAATCCCCTTCGCCATCACAACTACATTGGATTTAAGGTGTCTGGGCGGTCTGGTCTAAATGTAGAACTGTTCCCCAATCAAATACTGACACTGTCCAGACAGTGGTCTTGTGTAGTCTTAGGACCCACCACTCTCCACCCCCTCATTCCTTAACGCCTCAACATAACCCTAACCCTAAAACACGTTTTGCATTGGCCAGACCCTAAGTTAAATGACTTTTTACTTCAAACACATTTCTGTACCAGTATAGAATACGGAAAGACTTTTTCCGTATTCTAAGACTTTTCCGTATTCTATACTGGGCATGAATGACCTAGAAAGGGTTTTGGAATGTGGGGACTTAGAGTGGCCCAGTTCAAGTCCAGCTTTTTGTCATAGATGCCTACTGAGGATTCGCTTTGAAGTAATACTGATTAATGACTGATTAAGTGGCAGTTATAGGCCCAAAATGAGTTGACAAGTTGGTGCTCCTGTAAAGGCATTTCAGTTCTGAGATGCCACCTGCGCATGCAGAAAGGTATCCATGAACAAGGCTCTGTGAGGGTATAGAAGAGGATTTCCTTTTTTAAAAAATTGTGATGTCATTATTGTCGTTATTTTCGCCACCCACTGGAACAAAATAGGCATTACAGCCTACGGCACCGTGCCAATGCAAATGCAGACTTTTTCCAAAGTGAAGAGAAAAAAAAATCTGCTTCAAAAAATATCTGGAGAGGTGTAGAGGAAGCCTATCTATTCTACGGCAAACTTCAGTTCCTGGAAATCATGTGGGCTCATTTTCGCCCCCCGTTGCCGTGTCATCACATAATAGAAGTTTAAAATGAAGGGCTACTGCCTGCTCTTTCATGAATATATTCTGAGCTAAGCCACTCAGTCTCCCCCATGACAGAGACGTCATCTTGGTGCCACAACACGGTGTCTTACTTCCAGTAGTTCAGCGTGACCGCCCCTCAATCTCTTTTGCATTGTTGAGGTGCGGAGTGTCCAACACAAAGCAGCATGCTAGGGAACCTACAGAAGCACACATGCATGTCAAACAGCTTGGTCAGTACATAAAGCCAACCGGGTCGCCTGACCTCAGACTGTGTCTAGTCTCTGGTTTGAACTAGATTGTCTGGTTCAGAGCAAGGTAGGTGAAGGGAAAGACGTTTAGCCCGTGTTGTTGTTGAAAGCACTGAACAGTGGCGACAGAGGACGGTACCGGCAGCCCGGGTCTCTAGAACCAAACGGTGAAGTCATAGAACTGCCTTGGAAAAGGAAATACATCTATGTACTCTCTGATATGACTAGGTTTTCTTCAGGTGGTTCAGTATTTATCCCTCATTACACAGGAAGTCTTCAAGAACACAATATTCCTTCCTCCTTTTTTACTTCCTTTCTTCCTTTCCCTACTTATGTTTTCAGTATTCAGCATCGACATGCAGCAATTAAAACAACAAAATCTGTTCCCCATGTAACTGTGTGCCCTGGAGGGTTGAGTATTGCACTTTGTCATGTTTCGTACATGTAAACATCTTAAGGGCGGGTAGGCTTGCTTTATGATCAATGATCTGTGCAAGAAGGACTAAGATTTTACTTAACCTTCTATATAAGTAGTTGGTTGGTGGAGTTTTCCTGAACAAAATGTGAACGCTCCTTTCAAATACAGTACTTTAGATATATTGTTGATGGAATATTTAATTACAGCGAGAATTTCACCGGGGAGAAATATTCCTGCTCGACTTCCACTCTCCCACATCATGGTGTTAGCTAAGGAGCTCAGGCGAGACGATGAGGGTAAGACTGAGAGGAGGAGGCCAGTTATTGGTTGTGTGTTTGGGTTTCATGGAGTGTTAAATACATCGTATTTGTCAGAAGTCGAGTCATTGGCTCAAAATGTGTTCTGTTTATCGGTGCTGTATGTGTGAATGTGGATCCATGTCTGGCGTCTCTGAACCAGTTCAGACGATTTCAGATGGTTTCCCCTGAAAAAGTTCCAGGTCAGACTGATGCTGCGCCTGAGGCTAGAGACTGATATCAAAAATATCTCGGAAATACTTCCTGCTAATATCAGGAGAAGAACTCTGCTTTCAGGATAGGAGATATCATATAGTGTCTTGCAAAAGTATTCCAGTCCTTAAAACGTTCAACATCTTGTCACATAACTAGAACTCTACAAAATATCAATATTTCAAAATATATCAGAGTGAAAATATGAGAAGAATGCTTTGATGCACTAATTGGAGGAATCTGATATTTGAATTGCTATATATGCAATTTTTGAATGCCAGAAACCTTTTTGTTCTCTGGTCCCACAGTGGACGGACATTTCTGTTGGCCCAGATGCTCGACCACAAAAGGATTGTGAAGAAAGAGTGGCTCGGTTGCATTCTCATTGCAGTTTTCAAAAATAGTATCTCAATTACTTCTTGTACTGATATTGTTCAACTCTAGAAACAATCCTATCTTCTTGCTGTAAGCCATGTATGTCCCAATAAAAATTAATTATTTTAATGTGTACAATAAAATAATTCATCATGTGGGTCAGTTTTTTTTTGATGCAGCAAGACAAAATGTGTGAAAGTTCAAGAGGTATGAATACTTTTGCAAGGCACTACAAAAGACATTTTTCCCCGTTTGGATGATGCTCAGTGTTTACATGTAGTTAGAGAAAATCTCTTGAGATTTCTTTTTTCAAGCCAAGTTACTTTAATTATTCAGGCTGAAAAGTCATATTTTTGATCCCATCCAGTGAACTACACCATATTTCAAATTATTATGCAAATTGGGTTAAAGTGTCATAAAAATATATATTTTTTTGTTGTGCTATTAAATTTCTAGATGGTATTGTGTGTCAGGGCTCTTGGAATCACTATAATTAATTTCAGAGCTGGTTGATTAGTTTAGCTCAGTTAAAGGAAATCTATTTAAAAAGGATGTTCCACATTATTAAGCAGGCCACAGGTTTCAAGCAATATGAATCTCTGCTGATGAAAATCATCAGACAGTATAGAGCCGTATGACAAGATATGAAAACATTAGATATTTAACGAAAACTGCAGCGTTATCGTACTGTGAAGAGATTTGTGGCTGATTCAGAAGAAAGACGGTTTGTACAGATAAAGCACAATGAGGAAGGTTTCTGTTAGAGAAATTCATGGGATTAAGAGTCCAGCTGTTAAAATGCTCTTACAAAGCAGCAAACGGTTATTAGAAGCTGCTGGAGCCTCTGGAGCCTGAATTCAGGCAGCATCACTTAATGCTGCACAGTCAAAGAATGACCGTTTGCAGTTCTATATAATCCATAAAATATTTAGAAAATCTGCTGTGCATAATAATTTTGAATAGTGCATTTTGAGTTGTTTATTTTTGAAAAACATATACTGTCCTCATGGGGAAGCTCTGTTCAGTAAAATTTGATTTATGCTGAAATACTTCATGACTTGAAAATGACACTCACCATCATTTGCTCTGACCATTTAAGAAAATCGGAGAAAACATCATTTGCATAATAATCTGGGACACGGTGTGACTGGTGTGAAGGTACAGTCACACTGTATTGACTTTGACGTGGTAAATCTGTTTTGTGTAAAAGTGACTCATTTGCTGACTTTGGTGATTTCATTTCTATTTATGGATTGAAATGTTTTGACCTACGAACAAGAAATTTGGTCAATCGTGGACTAACAGAGACGCCAGACAACTGTATCTCTCTAAGTGAAGACAACTCTGTTTCCCATTTGCCTTCCCTGACTGCAACCTCGCTATCCTTCTACCTTTCCTTACTCCCCTCCCAGAGCCCTCCTATCGGTCAAGGCCTATGAGAAGCTTGGTCTTCTCTTCCTCTTTCTTGCTCTCATTCTTCAGGTCGGCAAACACCTGGGTGAAGAAGTGTGGGTCGGTGTTGATCTGAAGCATCTTGCCACTCATCCGGTTGATGATCTCCAGGCAGCGATCCCAGAAGGCTTCCTTCTCTGCTTCAACCAGGAAGGGCTTCAGCGGATAGGAGATCTCATTGCCCATGTAGGAGTAGGAAAGGTAGAGGCAGGTGAGGAGCGAGGCCTGGAGCTCCCGCTCCGAGGCCACCTCGGACGAGACCACGTCGCGGCACAGCATGTAGAGGAAGACCACGTTGGCTGGAGTGATGAAGCCCTGATCCTGCCAGCCCTGCAGGAGCAGGGAGCGGTCTACGCTGCGCAGCCACAGCACCGGGTCTGTGGGGGACAAGCGCTTCAGTCTGTAACAACGGCGGCAGAGGAACTCTCCGAGGCTACGCATCAGTTCGCTGGTGGAAGCCTGGGGTTCAGAAAAGACAATACAGGTCAATGGAAAAAAGCAGAAGGCGCACGATGGAACAGCTGCAGATTTGATTGATTAATTAACGAAAGGTGAGACATCAAGCTTCCTCGAATATGATTTGTCACCTGGTTTGTGTAGCGCACTCTTTAAAACATATTCAAAAGATTCATAAGAGTTTTCGCAAGACTTATCATCAGTTTGTTGTTCCTGCTGAGCTCAGGCAGAAAGATGAACAACGTGACATTTGCCTCACCTGAACAATGATGCGTTTGGGCGTTCCAGCGGCGGTGGAAGGCGGGATTCCAGGCCCTGTGAGGGAATTCTTTTTGGCGACTACAGCAGCTACGTTTGCAACGGTCTTGGAGGTGGGCAGGTGGGAGGAGGTAGTGGTGGTGGCAGCCAAGGGGTCCTGACCGGAGGAGTATGATGTGAGGTTAGCGCAGGACTGAGACTTTTTTAGCTTGAGGCTGTTGGAGGCTGAGTTGGTGGTGGCGGCTGCGTGGCCGTCCGGGGAGCTCCCTTTCCCACCGTCCCCAACTTCTGATTGCAGCTTCTTGGAACCCTTCCTTTTTGCTGATACAGCAACGATTCGTTTCCATGGCAAAGCGCTAATAATGGAGGGGCGCTTGAGGGACTTAGCCGCCGCTGCAGCCTCCTTGGCATTCTTGCTGTTCTGAACAGCAGTGTAGTGGCCCACTGTGGCCGGGCCGTCCTCGAAGAGAGCGGCTTTACGGTAGCTCGGAGAGAGCGACAGCACCGTTCCCATGATGTCTGATCAGACTCCTCAGTCGGGTCGGGCTCAACGGGGAGAAGCTCTCTGACTGGTGAGGACCAAGAGCTCTGAAGGGGCCAGAGCGACTTACTTTCAGAGGAGTAACAACCTGCAAACAGAAAACAGGACGGCAAAGTTACTGAAGAAGATATTTTACAACAAATAGAAGTCTGTCATTGTTATCGCAGAAATGATTGATTCCACAAGTCAGCTGTTAAGTGGAACAAAATGTGAAGAAACGACAGAGATTTTCTGGAACACCAAGTCCCATAGCATCAGTGAAGTATGAGGAGATATAGATGCATGGGGCTCACATGCACAGTGTCCTGATGGTGAGTTACAACAAGGTGAGTTACTTTTTGTGACATCACCGTCTTGTCAATGCGTTGGCAAGAGGGCCGGCCAAAATATGATGACTGTCCCAATCGATGTAAAACCATGTTTTGACAGCAGCGTCTACATGTTCTTGCTTGTGTTTGTCCACAACCCCAAAAAGACCAATGGCCAAAGTCTTTCTACTTTCTTCTCAGTAGAACTCTTCAACAAAGAAATGTTTCTATGACATTTTAAAGCCCGCCCAGGAGAAGTCTTTATGGAGGCAATAATGCTACGATGTCTGGGTCTGGTGTTCTGAGTTTCCCTCAGAACATCGTCTCCATCAAGCCAAACAGGTGAACGATCATAAAAACGGTGTTTGTTATCTTTGAAATGTTATTAATTTATTTATTTTAATTATTATTTATCAGGCACTGTTTATGGAAATGATGTTATCTGACATTGCTGCAGCTGTTAGACTTTAAAACCATCATCACTCCGAACTCAAACTCAGTGCGTTCACATCCCTGCAGTGACATGCCGTCTTTTTCATTTCCTGTAAATATTTCTCTTGTTGCTTTCTATCCACAAATAAACACATCTGGCATACATATATAAATACATATATATATATGCAGATATATATATTTGAATCACTCCACTCACTGGCACCATTATTTTCTTTTTTCACCTGAGTATGCTATTTTTGACTACTGTACAGTATTACAGTATTGCCTTTGCTGTGTCGTCTCTCTTGTTCCTGGAAATGTTCCAGAGTGTCAGTGGTAGATCCAGGCTGTTTCTCCCTGCTGCAGACAGTGAGACGGTGCACAAGAAGCTCCAACATGGCTTCCATCGAGGCTGCACCAGAGAGATGTCATGTTATCTCAGATCTCCTGCTTCACTCTCTGAAAAATATCCAGATGTGACTTCTCTGATTCACCACTTCCATCTCAGAGAACATTTATTTTGTCACAAATGACAAAAAATGACTTTAGAATGTTTCTGGGTCCCAAATATTTCTGATCTTTTTATTATTATTATTATTATTATTTCTGACTTCTTAATATCAGTTTTCTTGTCACAAAGTTTTGCCTTTGGAGTAAATTTGGAAAAATTATAAAGTTTGTTTTGCGGATGTATGACTTGATAACATCAGAGAATATGCAAGTTTTTCTTCCCTCTCGTAAATATGTGAAATGAATCTCGAGATTTCAGAGTTTGTTGGCTGACGTGTTCCTCTGTGGCCAATTTTCTTTTCTTTTCATCTAGATTTGGCTTCTCAATACTGAGGTGGACTACAATCATATTTATTAAATGTTCCAATAATGCAGTAAAAGATGTTAATCAAGTGATCATGAAGGTCCATGGTTTACACTCAGGCTAAGTGACTGGAGAAGCTTTGCATTTTCTTATGGTATTTTTCTGAACGTGAAGCATGAACCTCCTATTTTCTACATATTTCCTGGAAGATTTTAGGGAATCATTTCAGAGACTTGAGCTCCTTGCTAAAACATTGATGCCACATGTAAACTTGTTTTATTTCAACGTTATGTGATATTTGTTGGTCAGTCGTGCATCAGCGCAGCTTCGACCTTCGGCGCAGTCACAGCTGCAAAACTTGTCATGTTTTCTCCTGCTTTTCTTTACACAGCAGCTTGAGCTCAGTCTGATTGGATGCAGAAAATCTGCAAACAACAATGTTAAGGTCTTGTCCTGGATTCTCAGTTCTGTTTTGCTCCGGATCTCGATTGGCTCCGATGAGAACCTCTCCGTTGTGTCTCTGGTTCTGCTCTCGACCACCACAAAGACGCAAAGTGAAAGGTAAGAAAGCAATGAAGCAAGGTTTTTAGGTTTCCCCTATAGTCAAAGAAAATGATGCATGTAATTGTGTGGTCAGGCTCATTCACTCAGACGCCCCGAAACACAATGTCGTGATGAACGAGGAGCACAGTACACCGGTCAGAGATATAGCTGTAGAGAAGATTTTTAAGCATAGATTCTTAAACAAAATCCAAAGTTTTGACTACACATTTTCCTGACTGATCCACCCATCCATCATCTGAAAATAGAGGGGGTGTGGCATACCGCGCTCCAGTTGGGCTAACAAAACCTAAACAGATACCACAACGTCTGAAGTAACTTGGGAGGAGATGCAGAGATTCATATCATCACTTTCCTTTCCTGTAAAAACAGCCGAAGTAATAAAAAAAAAACACTTTTTTGGCAAAAAATGACTTGGACCATTATTTCAGGAAAGTGCAGATAACTAGATGAGGAGAATCTGTCAACTACTTGTCACCCATCAAACTAGTAGCCGAAAACTTGAAGCCAACTGTTAGTCGAGTGCTAAACAGTTATTTTTAAAAGGGAAACAAAGTATCTCTATTTGAAGTAGCTAAGTTTTCCTCTGCATATTAACATCGTGCACCACTGCGCTTTTTTGTTTCAGTCCTGGTTGCTATGCAACGTTGTCTCCTGTCTTCTAAGACCAAATTTTCCCAACGGGGGACAGACCAGTCGTCTCACACTGTCTTACATGTCGTACTTGCTGCTGCAACTGCAATGCCAACAGGTCATTTGACAAACCGAAGACGGAATACAAATGTGTGCCACACTTTTAAGATTTCTATTCATTTCTAAAAAAAAAAAAAAATGTTTGGAGACATTTTTCTTCCAGCGTTGTGTGTTCCTCTCTCACATTAAACGCCAGTAAAACACGTCACAGTTTGTGGTTGTGACAAAATGTGGGCGAATTCAATACTTTTGCATATAAAAGCAACCGCAGAAAATTATTTGTAGTTATTTATTTTACAATTGTTTTTTTTTTGTTTTTTTTCACAATTTGACTTCTACACCACATAGTGTAAATCAAACGTCTTGTGCAATCAGTGCAGGCCTGCAGGTGTTGTGGTGGTGAATGGTGAAAGTGCACCATTGCGCGGCACAAGGTCACGTCGAGCATCTCCGCGCTGCAGGTTGGAGGAATATTGCTCTTTTCGTTGCCATGGCAAAAGGCAGCTGGTGATCATCGGCGTTATATAAGGAGCGAGAAAAAGGGCCACATGCAGAGGCAGTGAAAAGAAATGTGCGCAGGCATCCATCTTAGCTCCAAAATGGAAGCCTTGAATAATCCACCCCCACCAGCAGACAGCAGCAGCCGCTGCATCAACACACCGAGAAAAAAAACAACAACCGGATAATAAACAGAAACATGCTGATTTTTTCTTTTTCTTTTTTTTTGAATGAATGAATCAATCAGAATGAGTACAGAGGGGTTACGCTGAAGCAAAATGTGTATTTCATCTGGAATGCCTTTCATTAAAAAAGAAAAGAAAAAAAACGTCTCTGCCCTTCCTGTTTTCTCCTACCTTCTCATTAATCCTCTCTCCTTGTGGGATCCATGTGTTCTTCCTCGACGGATCGGCGCTTTCAGATCGAAAGAAGAAGAAGAAGAAGAAGAAGAAAAAGAAAAAGATCTGCACACCATCGGCATCCGCCAGCAGCGGCTCAAAACGGCATCCGTCCCGGATGGTAGCCTACATAAACAGAACCTGACGCGCTTCTCTCTCTTCCCCCCTCTCTCCCCCCCCCAGCCGGTGGTCTCTCTGGTCGCCCCCCTTTGCCTCGCTCACTGGGGGCCCCTCCTTCGGGGACACGGGCCCGGGATAGATGCGAAAATGCGCCTCGGAGCGCGAGGGAAGATGTCTTCCATTCAGAAGAGATCACCCTGGTCGGTCGAGGCTGTTGCTCACAGCTCGGACGGACCTTCAGACAGAAAGGAGAGACAACAGGTTCTGATCCCTGAACCGACACAAAGGCTGAAAACGCGAAAGAGGGGGAGTGTGTGTGTGTGCGTTTGTGTGTCTGTGTGCGTGTGGCGTGGGGGAATAGATGAAATCCAAAAATAGATGGCAGATATTCTCTCTGTAAAGCTGCCAGAGAGAGAGAGAGAGAGAGAGAGAATCGTTGCTTGTATGCGATGCGGGCATCTGCAGTCATTCGGGTTGGATGTGTGAGGGGAAGCGGTGGCCTCTGATTGGCTGCTGCCGGGATGCTGCTGCTGGTGTTGAGTGTTCAGCCGCGCCGCTGCAGCCATTGGCCCGCCGCTGGCTGCCGGGGCCTATCAGGAGCTTCGCTGTCCGCGGTGCTGAAACTGCGGCGGCGGCTGCTGCGCCCGGGCGGGGGGAGTGGAGGGGGGGCTGCTGACAGGTTTTTATGAATCAGACCCCACCAGAGGATAACTAGACAGCCTCATCCAGGGAATTTTATCGGATTTCTCCGTTAAAAAAAACAAAAAAACAAACAACACACACAAAAAAAACATCACACTGGGTTATAAAATAAAAAAGTTTTTTGGAAGTTGTCTGTTTTTCAACCGAATTAGGATTATTTTTGCACCGTCGGATCCAGAAAATGACAGTGATTTTCCTCAATCGGGACAGGTTTTTATTCTGATTTGATTTAGAGGAATCTGATCTGACTAAATTGATTACATTTTTATGACATTTTCAACTCATTTCCATTCATATTTCGCATCCAAAAAAGTTTTCAAACAGAGTGTATTAATTAATTGATTTAATTAATCACTGTGTTCAATGGTGCAGACGGTTGTGTTTTCTGACATGGGCGATATGGGCAACCGCCCAGGGCCTTATCTCTTTAGGGATGACAGGAGATTTCTGCAGATTGTGGCACAGAGATGGAAGCAAAGCAAAATGAAGAAGAGTTTAAATTGATTATGATACTGATTAAATTTATTTTAGCTCCAAGTATTTAATATATAGGTTTTTTTTAGATCAGTTTGAGAAGCAATTTTGATTGGTACACTTAATTTTATTGTGTCATGTAGCGCTGGCTGTTGGTCTTGGCCTTGACTTGGTCGTGAGGTTTGGTGGTCTTGACTACAACACGCCGCTCTTTAGTTGCATGTCTTCCTCCACCCACCTTCTTTCCATCACCTTTCTGTTGGATTTCTTTCAAAATAAATGACACTAGTGGCAAAAAAAAGGTGAAGTTCATGCAATGTTAGGACAGGAGACAATATGTTTCCATCCCTGAAATTATGATGCATATAATCACATATCTTAATCAGTAAACTGTTACAGAGAGTAAACACAATTAAAACCTGCTTTATCTGTGGTATTGTTCATTAAAATGGCACATTTATGATGTATTAAAATTAAACACGACAAATACACTTAATGACATTGTATTACTGACTAGGTAATGCATTCAGCAAGTACTTTTACTTTTAATACTTAAGTATTTTTAAAAGTCAGTACTATTTTACTTTTACTCAAGTAAAAATGTTAATGTGGTACTTTTTCTGGAATACATTGTTTGAATGCTTCCTCCACCACTGCCTGTCTGACTCCCTTTGTGTTCATATTTCAGTCGGCATTTATAATCTGAATTAAAGAAATTTGACGTGAACATTCTGAAAAGGTTCTGTACATTTTCTCTAAAGCTTCATAATGTCCAGTTCTGGTCCTGATGTTCTACTCTCCTGCATGCTTTAGATGGTCAGTGAGCAGCATGTGCATGAGGATGATTGTCAGTGTCAGTACCCTCCCCCTGGCTCTAATTGGTTGTTTCTTGACTGCGTCTTGTATTTCTGCAGATGGCAGTAGGAGAACAGAGACCAGAAGAGTTAAAAAAAAATGTTCACTGATTATCTGTCTCATATTTTACTATCACAACATGGTAACAGTTTAAAGAAAATGTACAAAACATGTTTTGCTTTTTATCAGAGTCACACACTGCAGCTTCAAGGGAATGTCTTCAATCAAACTGGAAAGTTTTCCTTGCATTTGGGTTTGTGGGGAATGTTCAAGCAACCTCTGTGTTCTTTCATTCACCCTTCATCTGATAATAAACTCCTTTATCATTCTAAAGTCTATTTTTTCTTACATAACAATAGACTCATTAGAATTTGACCAATGATGTCCAACTTTTTTGTCCTGAAGGTAAAAACTGAGAAATTTTAACCACAGGCATGCTACAAAATTTATGAAATAAATTAATTATTGTTGTTTTTCTTTTCCTCTCTCTTTTTTTAGGACTTGATCAAGTTAATTATATTTATCTATTTGTTATTTTCCCATAATCCTTCATCTTATTTTACCTTCTTTGTTTAAACTCGTAATTGTATCGTTTTCAACATGAAATAAGTTCAGGGTAAAAAAAAGGAAAGAAAGACAGAAAAGAACTACATATTCCATCACATCTTCCGCAGTGTTGCAGATCCACTTCCGGGACAGGAGGTTAAATAACCGAAGAGTTTCAGAAGTCTCCCCGTACTTAAAATGTAACTGTGTTCATGGACGATTTGGACCGACATCGTTCGCTTTACAAAGGAACCACTCCGCCATGGAAGGAAACTTACCGGAAGGTTCGCACTAGCTCCAGTTAGCTTGTTGACATTCTGTTTTTAACATTAGCTTCAGTTAGCTTGTTGACATTCTGTTTTTAACATTAGCTTCAGTTAGCTTGTTGTCATGATGTTTTTAGCACATGCTCCAGTTAGCTTGTTGACATTCTGTTTTTAACATTAGCTTCAGTTAGCTTGTTGTCATGATGTTTTTAGCACATGCTCCAGTTAGCTTGTTGACATTCTGTTTTTAACATTAGCTTCAGTTAGCTTGTTGTCATGCTGTTTTTAAGTTGTTTCACTTTTGTTTCTGTTGCATTTTTTTTTAAAGCGGTGTGTGGACCGGCTGAAGAACAGCCGCTCCAGGCTGCTGGACAGATACCGGCAGATGGGAGATGAGCAGCCGCGGAGCAGCTCCATGCCGTCCATCATCGTTCAGGAGGTGATGGAGGAGGAATGGAGCGCTCTGCAGCCTGATAACCAGAGGCTTCCCTCACTATGGGGCCCTCACGACGTGGCACAGGTCGGGCTCCGCCGCAGACGGCTGACCCGTCTCTAACAACACCTACAGATGTTCTGACATCTTCTCTTTCTAGCAGATGTTCAGTGTTATGAAGGAGTATGATGAACTGGCGGTGCTGGAGGAAATCCACCAGGAGCTCCTGTCTCAAGGTGATCAGTACATTGTGTTTTATTCAGTGAATCAGAGTAAGTGCAATTTGACACACCTTATTGATCCCAAAGGAAATTTTTAATTTATGACGATGTCATCCAAGTGGTTTTTTTTAAAATTATGTTAGATGCCCTACTGAAAAGGTCAGCGTAAAATTTTTGATTTCCACTTTAGGAAATTTGTCATAATTTTCAGAGAACCGCCATTTTATTCTTAATGCTAGGTTTTAAAATAAAATAAAAAACATAAAAAGGGATCCAGCTATGCCACCAGAGAGACTTAACGTGGAGTGACAAAAGGAAAAGTGGATTAGCAGCGCTTTGTCAAGGGGGAAAAAAGATCAAAACACATTACTGGTACTTTAGTGTTCTCTTGTGGATATTAAATGCAATTCTTCCATAAGAAACTTTTATTACTTACTAAGAGCGTTTGTTGAAGGTCCGAGATCCCTGGTCTGGTAATCAATCGGTCTCATGACATGCTAACAGCTCACTGTCCAGCTAGTGGTGAAGATGTTTGGATGACGCCATCACTTGCTAATCCTCCTCATTTGCCTTTGCACCTCCTCTTTAAATATCTGTCTGGCCGAACGGTTAGAAAGCTGAGCATAGTTATGCTGAAGTAGGGGACATCATGGGATAAAGGAGGTTGAATAGAAACACGAATCACACTTTGGATTTTTATCTGGAAACCAGTCATTATACAAAGATTGGTACTTTGCAGTGTGTGAACCTGATCAGATTTCTCCCTGTGTGTGAGTGTGCGTGTGTGTGCGCGCTTTTTTTTCTGTTGCAGAGATGTCTATAATTGACGAGTATGAGAGGAACCTGCAGTTTGAGCAGCAGTACATCTCCTCTATGGTGGAGAGAATGGATGAGATGCAAATCATTTGCCCCATATGTCACATGTAAGTGTGACTATTAAGCAATATGGCCGCAACCAGAGAAAGTTATTTATTTAAGCATTTTTTTGTTTTCCGCTGGAGCACAGACAATTTTTGGCATGTTTGTTTGTCTTGCAGGAACAACTTGAGCATCAACAGCCATTTCATCTCCTGCCTTTGTGGACTTTACATCGAAACTAAGGTTTGTATCGCACTGTTCTATTTTTTTTATTACATTTTCTTTTTCAAATCTGTGGTCGTCATGGGAAGTCAGTGTTGTACGGTTGTGGACTAAAGGTTTGGCACTGACGTACTGCAGCCGTTGTTTTGCAAATTCTAAAGCTTTACAAAAGGGGGGGAAAAAAAACACATTAAAGTAAATTACAAAACCAAAGCCATTTCTGTCCCATTTAAAAACCTTCGTCCTCATCTGTTTAATGAATTATGTAGAATTAAACGCTACATGCGATGTGATGTTTAGCGACGCCACTTCTCTCATTTCTCTCGTCTGCTCAGCAGCGGAACATCAGTCCAGATGTCCTGCAGCGCCTCCTGGAGGGCAGGGTGTCGGAGCACATGCAGGACTGTCTGCACAGCCCGGTTTTCTCTGTGACTCCCAACACAGACAGCCACGCCTCCCTGATGATCAGCTGCCAGGTGAGCTTGTTTTGGAGCTCCTGCTATGCTAGCATTTCTGTTTCTGTTGGAGGGAGCGAGGGGAAGTGTGTAGAAGCTTCACGCGTACAGTTGGTGTTCATTTCAGATATTAATAGGATATTTTCTTTGTGCTTCCAGGCTTGTGACTACCTGTCTTTCGTCTTGTAGCAGCACTGCTGTCAGGAATGCACATGCGAAATTTAATTTTCAGTTCCTTTTTATGCTTTGTAAATGTTTCACAAAATAAAGAAATTTTACATAAAATGCTGCCGTCTTGTATGTCAAAGGTGGGAGCGTTCAAACTTTTTATCAAGCGAGGCAAAATTGTCATGTCAGAAGTACTTCCTGGCCAAAAACTTTTTTTTTTTAAACAACACTGGAGAAATTGTATGTGTGCTCAACAACAATCTAAGAAAGCAAACCAAGCATATAGATCAATGTTGAGGCAAAACTTGAAAAAAGTTTCTTCAGGTTTGCCTCATTAAACATGAAAAACTACATCCTGTTTGAACATTCTTGGGAAAAAGAAGATCTATTCTCAGCATAGCAGCAGGATTTGAGACACTCTTTCTCTGGAAACACATGGTGCGTTTGGTTTAGTTCAACAAATAAATAAAATGCAGGTTTGGGTGAATTAAAGTTTTCAGAAAAGTGATTCTGAACTAAAGTCTGCTGTAGTGTAAAGTCAGTGGATAAATATGGACAGATTTACTATAACATTAAAAGAAAATGCAAAAAGCCAGGTTATCAAAATTTGGATATTCTGTATCATATGTAATTTTTTTTTGTCTAATTTTGTCCTAATTGAAAGACGCCTTTGCTTTTGGAGCCAAATCTCATTCTTGAAATTGCAGTTGGGGACCATAGAAAACAGTTCAGGGGTCTGGGACACCCTCAAGGCTTTGACTCATTTATCTACCATGCCTTGCAAATGTATTCATTCTCCTGGAGCCTTTCCATATTTCATCACCTTTACAATAAACAACTTAACGTGAGGTAGGGTGAAAGATCACAAATTATAACATCACATGAAAAGAAATTCACCCCAAATGGTTGAGGAGATGCTTTATTATCCAGTGAAAATGGTAACTACATTAAATCTACTGTGTATAAGTTATTTCACAAAATGTTTTTTTACATTTGTGTAAAAACTGTAACCATGTCATGACAGTTTAATATGATAATCTGTGAAACGATCAACCTCCTCCCTGAGCTGCTGTTGCTGTATGGAAAAAAAAAAAGCACCGACCACAAACAACCAATCAGAGTCAGAAGGAGGGTCTTAAAGCAGTCAATCAAGATTGTGTACTCATGTTAAATGTCAGAAAAGTTGTTGAAGAAACAACTTACCTGTTTATCTGCGTTGTCGGTGGCCATGTTGACAATGCCAAGACCTGCCTCCTGGCTGTTATTGGTTGTTTCTAGTCATCACTGGATGAAGCAGAAGAGTTTTTTTTTTTTTTTTCCCGCAGATTCTGTCTCATAACATACTGCCACAACATAGTGACAGTTTCAACAAATACATAAAAAAATTAATTTCCAAGTTATTTTTTGTAAAGGTTTTTGTATTTTCTGTAATTTGGTGAATGCATTAATCCACTAACAATCCAGCCAACCATCCATTTTCTTACACCCTTGTCCCTAGTGGGGTCAGGACGGGTGCTGTTCCGTATCTCCAGCGAAAGATTGTGGGCGAGAGGCGGGGTACACCCTGGACAGGTTGCCAGTCCATCGCAGGACAACTAATCCAGCGTTTTAAAACATATCAACAAAGTCAGCTTCTCTGTGTCAAGTTTAGGAATCTAGAAAAATCTAAAAGGTTTCACTTTGAAGTCCAGAAGGAGACTTGAGGAGAACTGAAGAGCGTTTGGTGCAACCATAATTCTGGATTTCCAGGTAGGTAAAAATGGATGAGTTTAACAACCTTACTGGTGAGATTACAGAGTCGGAAACTGCAGTCAATGCAAGGATGGTTGTCTTCTCATTTGGATAAGACTGATGCTTATGCCAGAATCCTGTTTGTGAATTTCTGCTCCATCATTAACCCTCATCTGCTTGGCTTGAACTCTGCCACTTGTTTCTGGTTTGAAATAGAATGCTTGAAAATAATGCCTTTTTTTTATAAGGCCAACATGCAAAACCATTTTTTAATGTTCAAACATACAGTGAACTATTTGCTTAATTAAAACAATAACACTTAGCTTATTGGTGAGTAGGTTTAAAATAATGATATTGCAAAATGATTTTAGTTTTTACAATTATTAAATTTGTTTAGGCCTACGTGAACTTCGGCAGTGACCATTTCTGGCCCACGTGACAACATTTCTGAAGACCCCTGGTGTAAAAGATGTGGCCTGGAATGAACCTGTTTTCTTCTCACCATGACAAACAACCATGTATTGCAACCCGCCTTTAGGGGGCAGCAGCGTACCGAACATGTGACCCACTGAACCGGAAGACTATCACGCAGAGAGAGCAGAGGCTGGTAGCGGAGAGATGGCAGCCGCGGCTGTGGCTGAGTTTCAGAGAGCTCGGTCTCTTATTGGAACTGACCGGAACGCTTCTATCGATATCTTACACTCTATAGGTAAATGGAACGGACTCTGCCGGACAGTAGGGATACATTCATTGAGCGATTCGACTCAAACTCTATACTTTTGTCCATCAGCCGTACGCTGTTTAGTTAGCAGCAAAGCTACGCTACACGAGTTAGCCTAGAGCAGACCGTCACCCTTTCTGTACTGTTTGGACAGTGAGTCAGCAGCAGCCTGGCTAGCCGGTTAGCAGGATACCGGGTAGCTTTGTGCTTAAGCTAACGCTAGCCAGCCGGTCTCATTGATTTTGCTGGAAGTTCGCTGACAGCCGGCTAGTTGCGTTAGCTGACAGCTAATGTTGTTAGCAGCTACTTCTCCCGAGTCTGTCAGATAGCAGGGCCGTCAGGAAAATTACAAACACTCCTTGTCAGCCCTGTAGAATTACACAACTAAGTTCCCTTCTGGTTTTGCTGGTTTATAACAGGCTAATGTGTGGTGTTTATTTTCTCATGGTGGATTATGTGCATATTTTTGCCTAATTTGTCTTCTGTGGTATTTCGCAGCTTTGTTAGCCGCTTGGCTCTTTGCCATGTATCCCAGTCAGTCCGAGACAGAATGCTTTCATTTCGTACCGGTGCCTTTCAGAATCTTAACCCCAGCGCTCGGACGTACCGGTGCTTCATGTTGAAACCAAACACATTATAAAACTGCTGTGTAAACGTGTGTGTGTGTGTGTGTATGTTCTAGTGAAACGGGACATCCAGGACAGCGATGAGGAGGCGGTGCGTGTTAAGGAGCAGAGCATCTTGGAGTTGGGTGGGCTGCTGGCGAAGACTGGACAAGCAGCAGGTAACCAGAGCCTGAGCTCCATTCCTGATCACTTTCTTATTCAGGCACACCGAGGAGGGGAAACGGCTTTGTTTGGCTGCTTTGACCTCAGTTCAAGCAGAACACCAAGTGTTTTGTTTCAGTTTGCCTCCAAAAGTTTGGATTTCAGTTTTTTTTAGTTGGAATGAAACACCATGAAAAGAAAAGGCCATGTTGGTGTAGAAGTTTTTCATGCATGATTCTAAGAACTTCAGCATTTCAGAGGCTTTCCAGGTCAGGAGTGACGGGTCTGCGGCCACAGCTCCGGAGCCATAAGTGGCTCTTAGGATGATTAACATGGCTTTTAATAACTTCAGCTAATATTTCTAATGTTTTTCTTTAAAATTGGTATAATATCAAATGCATGTTTTAGCAGTTTCTCTATTTTGTCATGGAATATTTGGACTCAGTTTTTGCTGCAAATACTACAATTAACAGCTGAATCTTTTTAGAAATAGTTTTCTGAAAAGTTTCGAACATACGAGTTATTTTCTTGCATAATTTTCTTACTTCATAAGATAATGATAAAAATGTTTATTTTCATTTTAAAATCTAAAAATAGAAATAGCAAGCACCTCTATAAAATGACAACAGATTTTCCAGCAAAAATTCTATGTTGTCCTTATATTAAAATAAAAACCAAACACTGACTTTGAACACAGGCTAGAAAAAAATGAAGAATTAGTTTTTACCTGGTGTGGAAAGAGAAAAATGATTTAGAATTTTTTTGTGTGTATCAAATCCCATTGTCTAAAATGGGACAACGCCTGTCCCATTTGTCAGTCTGTTTGAAATCTGTTTTTCTATCCATTAATACAAATATTTGTTCATCCATTCAATTACTTGCTCATTCCACCAGATAGCTAGCCATCCACCTGTTCACTCTCCATCTGTCCTCCTTAAGATTTCTTTTAAGATTTTCTGAAAAAGAAGTGAGAACTGTGGAGGAACCTTGTGAACAGTAACCTCGTCTTCCCAACCGTCTTCCCAGAGCTCGGAGGCCTCCTGAAGTATGTGCGCCCTTTCCTCAACTCCATCTCCAAGGCCAAAGCAGCCCGGCTGGTCCGCTCCCTGCTGGACTTGTTCCTGGACATGGAGGCAGCCACAGGTCAGGAGGTGGAGCTCTGTCTGGAGTGCATCGAGTGGGCCAAGGCTGAGAAGAGGACGTTCCTCCGACAGGCACTCGAGGTGAGTCCCGCTGCGGCCCGCTGTCCTGCTCCAGACCATTTTTTCAGATGTTACTTACCAGGTCTTGTTAAGGTGGGAAAATAAATCCATTTTATTTGTGTTTGAAGATTGACATCAACTAACTCATTCACTCTTTGGTTACCTGGCAACAAGCTGTTGAGTATTTTGCGTAGCATCAGTTTCATGTTTCGCCACAGTCACTCATAACTGCTTAAAAACAAAAAATCAGCTTCGTGGAGAGAAAACCGTGGATAGAACAGGAAAGGTAACATTCAGTTTGGTTTCATTTCAGATATTGAAAACTAGTCAATAATTATCCTTCACATGGTGATTCGTGTTTCAGCCGTGTCGTTCAGCCCTGCTGTGAAGCCCACTCTGCTGTGGGGTTTTAAACAGGGCAGAGCTGAATTTTCACCAGGTTTAGAGGTGAGAGGTCAGCAGAACACAGACACACATCAACTCCGTCTCCTCTCTCCTCAGGCTCGACTCATCTCTCTGTATTTCGACACAAAATGCTACCAGGAAGCACTACAACTCGGTGAGTGGTGATCCTGCATGCTGCTTGGCAACGTCCGTATACTCGGAGGAGAAAGGGCAGCCTGTGTATAAAGTCTGAGCTGCAGTTTGATCCCTGACCCCCGGTGCGTTGGACCCCGCAGGTTCCCAGCT